TCCCAAGTGCATCTGGAACCTTCCTGGTTCCTCGCTAGACGTTGCAGGTCTTCTACATCCCAGCGTGCATGGGCACCCCGGCATTCACACATGCAAAGTGCACTGTGAGGACTCGGGCGGAGGTCACCCCCTCCAGACATGTTTCGGTAGAAGTCTTAGCATCAGTCTGTAGGAAAACCCCTCTCTGTCCAAGTCCCTTTCCCCTTTCCTGATACACATACAGTCGGACCACCCCACGGAAGCATTTGGCACTGAATGCCAGTCTACCTGAAATGAGTGAATGGTCTGAGTGCACTTCCGCTTCTAAGGAGGGCCGCGGCTTCCTCTGAGGTCAATAACCTGGAATGAATGTGCGAGTCGGAGCTGTCTGTCCGTTGCTTGGTACTGAAATGCACACACCACGCCACGCCATGAAATCATCTCCATATCACAATGAAAACACACTGATAGTCATCTGATATAAATATTACCTCCCAGGGTGGAGTGTAGGAAAAATACTATACATTTAACTTTTCTTTGCAAGAAATGTGTTGCACCGTCAGTTGAATAATTTATCCTTGATCTGCCACAATAGTCATTTTCTATGTACAAATACTATTTGCGCACGTGTGTGTGCAAATATCTCCTATTCTGCAGCATCCGTCTTTGATGCTTGGGTCATGAGATGGCTTGGTCAGTGTTAGAAATACACAGCTCGAACACAGAATGCCTCCCCACAGCCACCCAGGGCACTGCGCTGTGGACTGACCTGCCAGAAACTGAACCGACAACAAAAATCCTCAACTTGGGGAAGAAACACTAACTCACAATCCAGTGAACAGCTTTAGTCTTTAAACACACACACACACACACACACACACACACACACGCACACACACACCATGTTCTCTAGTCTATTTATAGTGATGAGGAAAAAACTTGATTCTTGCTTCCTTCTAGAGCTGACTCCTCCAAACTAAGCGACAGTGGAGGGGTCTGAAGTCCTTGACTAAGCAGCCCCCAGTGTGAATGGGGTGTGATGTACAGAACTAGGCAGCCAAGAAGGGCTCTGAGAGAGCCTGGCAGGCTTCTGCTCCTGTTCAGAGGATTATGCCCCCCCCCCCCCCCCCCCCAGTGAATCCACTCACAGGATTTGGTAGCTTATCCATTTACATTTTTGTTTCTTCTTCTTGAATGGCCATCACAAAGCATTGAAGGAGAAAGTGTAGGTGTGGACCGCTTGGCACAGACCGTCACATTGTGCCCACATGACCTTGAGCAGTCTTCCCGTGCGAGCCCTCTTTCGGCTCCCTGCTCTCCTTTTCAAGAAGGGGCAGTTGGCTGACTAATCAACAGCCTTTTTTTTTTTTTTTTTTTTTTTTTTTTTAGTTCCTTGGGAAAGCAAGACAAGGATTAAATCCAAAATCATAGTGCATCTTAAAAGCAGCATACCTTCAGAAAGACAGTGAATAAGTTACTTGTACACTATACAAAACCACACCTCTGCTGCAGCTCACCTCTGACACCGCAGCCATGGCCAGGGAACCCAGAAGGAAGGAGCAGGAGGGCTTAGGAGCTGCCAGCTTTTCTTTTCTTTTCTTTTTTCTTTTCTTTTCTTTCTTTCTTTTTCTTTTTCTTTTCTTTTTTTTTTTTTTGCAACTGCTTTGTTCCAGAATCAGTATGTAATGAAGTTCATTTATTCAAGGCACCCCCAGATAACGCAGAGAAACAGACACATACAGCAAAGCACTCGCCTGCCCAAAGTCTGAATGAAGTGAGGCCATCGGGAGACACACACACACAGAACGAAGGTAGGTCCAAGGGGAGGACTAGATTCAGGCAGCTCTTAGCCCGTCACCTCCACTGCCTCTGCAGACAACCCAGACACTCAGAGCCCCGACTTGGCTGGCATAGGGATCCCCCTAACCAGCCCATGGGGGGAGGGTCCTTCATTTTGGTAAGAAAGACCTTAAAGAACGCTGTTCCTCCCAGTTCACTTGCTTTTCCTTTTCCTACGAGACACAGGCTTCACTAAGGGGCCCCAGGGGAAAGAACAGGCTGATGCTAAAAATTCCACTTGAGGCAGTTTGGATTCTGGTCCCCAGCTAGTCCTCCCTTTGAATGGACCAGGGAATAATCTTGACAAACACATGCTTCAGAGCATTACCAGACTGGGACATGTCGCATTGCACAGCATTATTCGCTGTTCATGGCGGATGGTGAACAAAATCAGAACAACTTGTGAAAAAGAAATCAAAAGACAGTTTTTTCAAGCAGTGTTTTTAACCAGTTCCTACAGCAAGGGTTTGGTTGGGGGAGAGGAATAAAAGCGAGGCAGAGGCTGGCAGGAAGAGGGGGTGGACAGAGTTGGGGTGGAGAGAAAGAGAGAGAGTCCCTCCCCCCCGGGAGTGGCCGTGGCACAGGTGTATGCAGACAGACCCACAGGGAGGGATGGACAGAATGTGGTCAAGACTACCAGTTGCACGTGAGTTGTTACCAATGGATAACTGATGCCAACAAGTTGTTTGGACCTGGTTATGATCTGAGCAGAAAACATTCCTTTTTTTTTTTTTTTTTTTTTTTTTTTTTTTAAAAAAAAGAGGTCACATAAAAAAGGAAACAAGAGTGTTCAAAAACAAAATACTGTTGGCTGACTCCACCACAGCCCAGACTTGGGATGGATCACGCAATTAGCATTGAGTGTAAATTCGAGCTGTCACCAGCCTTCCACCGAGGCGGGTGGACCCCATGGTGAAGCACAAGACCTGTCTCCGAGGCGGAGAAATGCCAACAGCCGTGATGCAGGGGCAGCTCTGATACGGAACTCAGTGACACACACACACACACACACACACACACACACACACGCGACACGAAAACCCAGAGGCAGGTTTTAAAAGTGGAGCTAGTTTAAAAGAAAAGCCTTTTTTCTGTGTTTTTAATCCTACGGCATGAACCAACGTATTTCCGGCATTCATACAACGTTTAAGCGCTAATATTTGTACAGAAGTTAATAATACTAAAACATGTTACTATGGTTTCACTTTTGCCTACATCATATACTAATTCCCCTTTTACATGCAGCTTTAATATTATTGTCCAAACAATGGCACAAATAAAGAAACAAAGTCACCCATCTAGTCCCCGGTGCCCACCACCCCATCCCCCACATCAAACCCTCAGGGACTCTCCGGCCGGCTGCTGGAGCGAGGGAGCTGATTCCTCCTCCTCTGCGGCTGGTGCCTGTGGGGTCTCAGCACACTCTCCTGTAAACGTGGCCAGGGGCCCACACCCGCCTCCCCCCTCCCCCCGACCCCCCAGCCAAGGGAAGCTGCTCTCTGTGGGTTGCAAGCCAACCAACCAGTTTTGCAGCAAGAGAAGAAAATGATCACCAGGTGAGGGGCAGGTGTGTGTGTGGGGGGGCAGGGTCAGGGCAGGCTCCTGGCCACACCACATCCAAAGACTCAGAATGAAATCTGCCTGGGGGCAAGAGACTGGCAGAAAACCTCAGAGTTCAACTCGAAGCATTTGGAGAAGGGAGGGAGGGAGAAATGCTCTCCCCCGTGTCCTGGACAGACCTCAGGCTCACTCTGGCCTGCTCTCTCCTACGCTGGGTGAGCTGCGCTGACCCAGGGCAGCCGGGCAGAGGCAGGGCCTTGGGGCTGCCGGTCACCCCTGCAGGTGAGCTCTCCCAGGAGGCCAGTCCTGCTCAGCCGCGTCCTTCCAGGGAGAAGGCGCCGCCGCACTGCATCCCCAGGGCGAGGGAGGCCGGATGAAGTGTTGAAATGAACGGGACTTCCTCCCCGGGTGAGAAAGCAGTCCTGACTTATTTCCAGGAGCCAGCACCTACTGTTTCGATGCACTTTCGAGTGAGATGCCCAAACTCCCTCCCCACGTGGGAATCTGAGCATCCAGCATCAACTCCGAACTCTCCACCTGCATTTCGACTCTGCTTAGGAAAGGTGGGGAGGAGGTGAGATAGAAAAATATTCAAGCAGATTATTGTCGACACATCCTAAGATGAATTCATTATTTGGCAAGATTGTTGTTGTTTTTTTTTTTCCTATATAATTATCACCTGAGTGGTTGTTGGTTTTTTTTTTTTTTTAATGAGCTAAAATGTTTTACTTTTAAACTAAAAGCAAAGAATATACAGTATACTCGAGTTATACGGAAGTTGCAACTTCATTTAAGAAAATAGGTTTGACCCAAAACCCAGTGCAAGTGGCAAAGTTGACCATGACTGTACAGTGTCTGCAGAAACAAACCCACAAACTCAGATGGCACCACCTGACGGTGCCAAACCCAAACCAAACAGAAAAGGCTATCTGAAACAAAAACCTTAAAATGAAAATTCCTGACATCGAATTCTGTCCATAAATAAGTACAAATTGAAGTTGAACTGTGAAGCAAGGAGAAAAAAAAAAAATTGACCGTGTTAACAGTTACCAAACTAGTTCTAGCATCAGAGACAAAAGAAGAGGAATGTTGGAACCTGTCTGTCAATGAGAAATGAAGTTTCCAGTTTTAGGATGAGAAAACAGGCATGCAGAACTTTTGCATATGGAGATATATATATATATATATATACTTTATATATATATTATATATAATATGTACAGTCTAGCTATAAAACTTTGATGTGTATAGAAGCTGTCTTCAATGAAAAAAATTGAACATTCAGAAGAAATTCCTGAGATAGGGCTTGTGACATGGGCCACTGAGAAAAAAATCCGTGGTTGGGTCCTAGAGGTGTTATCGTCCATCCCTGTTAAGATTGACAATTAACCCACAGACAGACAGTGTCGTCACTGCTGTCTTTCCTTGCCGGGGCAAGGGGTAGCACCATTGTGAAGGTAACCATCGCTCCTGCCTGGAGAGAGGAGAGAATCCTTGGAAACAGTATTGCTGCTGAGGCCGCTGCTGTAGTGTGCACCAGACTCCTTCTTGGTTCTTCCAGACGACAGCCGGACAGCGCCACCTGGTGGGGAGGTGTGAGAACGCGGAGGCGGGCCGCCTCCCTAGGTGTAATCTTTCCTGGGCTGTTCGTCAGTTGTACACTTGTCAGTCATCTCCTGGCAGAAGTCCACGGTCACCGTCTGGCTCCTGGGTTCCAGAGGAGGGCCTCTCTCTGAGAAGGTTCCCGGGTCAGTGCCTTCCAGCTTCCGCGCAGAGGTGCAGTTCTCTGAGGCGTTGCCGGGGGCCCACGGGGGCCCGGGCGGAGCTGCACCCTGCTCCAAACAGCAGGGCACCGGGTCCCCAGCCGCACACGGAGGGGCGGCCAGGCTCTGCTCCACGCCCAGGGGCGCGGGGCTAACACTGGAGGCTGTGGGGAGACCCGTGGGTCTGAGGACGGGGCAGTACCGATGCAGGGCCTGGACCTGCTCGGGGCTCTGGATGTCTCGGCACACTTCCTGGGAAAGGCAGGAGAAGTTGTCCAGCAGTTCCCCCATGCACGCTTTCAGCTGGTTCCTCTCGGACAGCAGCTTCTCTTTCTCGCACACCTGGACCCCGGGGAAACAAGAGACGCCGGTCAAGCCTGCGCCAGACCCGAGACCTCGTTGCTGGGCTTCCCAGGATCCAGAAACTCAAAGCTTATACACCCAGGGAGCCTGGACATGTACTCTTGCCAGGTCGCCTCTCTGTGCTGCCCATCCGGACGGGCACCCATCCTGGCCCCCATCCCCACCTTCCCATGGCAGCTCTTTGTCCCTCTCGGTGGCCTGGCCAAGTGACCAGTAAAATCACCACCAACCAGAACACTTCTTTTTCCAAAATTATTATATTTTAACCCTTACCTGAGGACATTATTTTCTTTTGATTTTTTTTTTTTTTTTGAGAGTGGAAGGGAGAGGGAGAGACAGAGAGGAGCACAGATGTGAGAGAGACACATCTATTGGTCGCCCCACACATGCTGTGGACCAGCGCTGGGAGTCTGCAACCAAGGAACATGCCCTTGACAGGAATCGAACCTGGGACCCTTTGGTCCACAGGCTGATGCTCTATCCACTGAGAAAACTCTCTAGGGCTTAGACCACTTCTGGGAGTCAAGGTTCCTGTTTCTTGGAATTCGGGGTTTCCAGGGAATCAACGGGAAAACTCTTGGTCTCAAATCAAGATCTGAAAATCTCCCCCAGATGTATTAGATTGCTATTTTTGAAGGTCAAAAATAATTGAGCAAGGCAAAACTATGGCGACCAGTGATTGCCAGGGGGTTGGGGTGGGGTGGGAGGGATGACTAGGCACCGCACAGAGGATTTTTAGGGCAGTGAAACTATTCTATGTGATAGATACATGGTATTAAGTCATTATACATTTGTCCAAACCCATAGACTGTACCCCAAGAGTAAGCCCTCATATATAAACTGTGCACTGGGGTGGTTTTTTTTTGTGTGTGTGTGTTACTCCTCACCTGAGGATAGTTTTCCATTTATTTTTAGAGAGAGTGGAAGGGAGAGGGAGAAGGAGAAGGAGAGAGGGAAAGGGAGAAGAAGAGGGAGAGGGAGAGAAACAATGATGTGAGTGAGACACATCAATCGGTGGGTCCCAACCAGGGCCAGGAATCGTGCCTTCAACTGAGGTATGTGGTCTAGACCAGAATCAAACCCGGGCTCCTCAGTCCATGGGCAGCTGCTCTATGCAAGGAGTGAAACCCGTCAGGGCGACTTTGGCCCGTTCTGATGCGCCAGTGCAGGTTCACGGATGGTAACACATGTAACTGGTGGGGCATGCTGATGATGGGGGAGGCTGGGAGTGGGAAGGAGCAGGGGGCCTATGGGAATTAGGTTTGCTGTTCAATTTGGCTACGAACCTAAAACTCCTTGAAAATATTTAAACTATGAAAACTTAAAAAATGTGGTTATTGGCAATTCCAGATGGTTCCATCCCACCTCAGCAGGCTCACTGGCCTTTGTTGCAGACTGAGCACACAGACGCTAGTTAGGGCGGCTGGGCACCGACCGGGTAGCGAAGCTGACTCTCTCTGGACAGCAAGAGGGCACTCTGAGCTGTGGAGACTGAGGTTCTCAGATGTTTTCCTTAAAGAAAAGCCCACACAAGCTCCTGTGCTTCTCAAATCCATCACCCCCTCAGAGAGACGAATTTAGTACCAGAGGGGAGAGGGGTTAAGGCTTTACCACAACTACTTGTGTGAGGAGAGAGGGTCAGGAGGCTCCAAGGCGGGCACGCAGTGAAATGGGGAAACTACACATGGAGGCAGCATGGAGTGAGTGCGACCTCACCAACAGCATGGGTGGGCAGGAGTGGTGAGGAGAGGATGGGAGAGAAAATGAAGGGGGGACAGAGTGAGAGGTTGCGGGGGCACACATCCCATGTGGGGGCTCCTACATCAGCTGCACGTGCCCATTGCGAATGCAGCCCAGCAGGCAGCATGTGTGAGTCTGTCAGAGACAGAGATTTATATGGGGAAAGGGCACCTGCTAAAATATTTATAAATTTTCCAAGAAAACATGTTTTAAAAATGAAAAATAAACAGATGTACAAGTGCAACTCGAGAGAAATACATTATGCAAGTTTGCAGAAGCTGAGTGGCATGCTGGAGACAGCGTGGGAGTGGGGAGGGAGGGTGTCGGGCTGGGGACGTGTGGGCGGGACCAGAGCTGGCCCTGCCAGAGCCACCTGCCACGCAGGCCAGGCGAGCGGGCGTGGATCCCCAGCTAGAGGCGGTGGGTCAGAAGCCAAGCCATCCGAGCTGAGCAGCCTGGACCTTCTGTGCTGTAACCTGGGAGGCTGTTAAAGAGGCAACGCCACACGGCCTGGGAGGGCTTCTGAGGCAATCCAATCTTAATTCTGCCCCACCATCTGGCCCACGCCACCGACCCCTCCGCACTCGCTGACCTGCAAGGTGTCCGGGGCCACTTTCTGGGGTGAGGAGGATGAAACCCTACGTGCGCCGGTGATTTGGCTCACTGCACACATCCAGACTTGGTTGAAAGCAGGAAGCTCTCGGGCACAGCTAGCTGTTCACGGACGAGCATGTGAAACTCATTCGGTGGTGAAATGCCGCATGTTACTTAAGGGGTTTCCAAAAGAGTGGTGGTGGTGGTGTTGGTGGTGGGGGGAGAGAGGGTGGCGGGGGGAGAACCAAATGCCCTCTTGGCTTCCCAACTGAACAATATTAGCAAGAGCTTTAGATGTCTGCCTGGCGTGTGGCGTAGACTTACTATCTGTGCATATCACACCGTCGCCTGGGGAAGAATGCTAAGGACAAAAACCGGGCGGTTTTTCTGTAACATGGGCGGTTGGAGTTAGCCTGTCGCCCGAAGAAGAGTGGAGGCCGGCATTCCTACAGACTGGGGCCTAAGGCCTTGCCATCTGGCACCCATGGCCCATCCTGGCCCGGTTCCCCACCGAAGCTCAGCGGGCTTTCAGAAGACCCATACTCACCAGCGGCCATGAGGGGCTTAGCTTACATTAAAAACGTTTTTTGCTGTGCTTAAAACATTATAGAAAATCTGAAACAAAGAAGTAATTCATAATCCTACGACCCACTAGCAATTTTAGGTCAAACGGACATTTCCTGAGGGGTTTCCATGGGTCTGTCCTGGACACTCAGAGATGATCACCGATCTGTCCTTGTTGCATGGAACCTACAGGCTCGGGCAAGGGGCTGGGGCGGCAGACACACACAGATAATGCATGACTAATAATGTGACAAGCACAGAGCCAGAGGTTAGGCTGGCTCCAGGGGCAGGGGCCAGCCTCACAGAGGCTCAGGAAAGGGCCTTCCTGGAGAGAGGGAAGTTACCTGTGTCTTAAAGAGCAAGGGCAGAGTTACTGAAGATAAACAGGGGGATGTCAAGGTGGAGGGGAAACAACAGAGGCACAAGCATAGAAGTATAAAAAGTAGGAAATGTTGGGTAAGAAGCCAAATCAGACAGTTTGATTTTGTTAAGGGTCAAGTTGCAGGCAGAGAGTGGAAGGGTGCTGGAGAGCAAGACAGACTGAATCATGGAGAGCACCAGCTGTCCCGCAGAGGAGTGTGGGCTTCTGTAGGTGACAGGAGCCACTGAAGATAGGCAGGTTTTCCCTGCTTGGTGGGTGTTAATTAAATCATAAAAAAGACTCTGAGGTCCAGGACTATCTTACTAACCCATAACATCGCCCTGCCAGTATGGCTCAGTGGTTGAGCGTTGACCTATGAACCAGGAGGTCATGGTTCGATTCCCTGTCAGGGCACATGCCTGGGTTGCAGGCTCAATCCCCAGGAGGCAGCCAATCAATATTCTCTCTCCGCATTGATATTTCTATCTTCCCCTCTCTCCTCTCTCTGAAATCAATAAAAAATATACATATAAAAAGTAAAGTCTTAAAAAATAACTGGTAACATTTATTCACACTTTTCAAATGTCTGGCTCTTAGGTTCTCTTTAGGACGATGGCTTCGCAGGAGGCAAAGGATGGCTGTGTGCAGCCTGAAGACCCAAAGGCAGATCACGGCCTCACTGTGTGGCCTCCCTCTTCCTCTCTGACACACACTCCGGATTTGGCCAGCAGAAAGGTCCAGCTGAATGAGGTTGCACTGGTTGCCCGCAAAGCTGGTGGGGAGGGAGGCCACCTGGATCTATTTCCTGTAGCTTAAGGTTGTGTCTCAAGAAGAAGGGGCACAGAGTTCTGAGGGACAGGAAGCTTGGGGGATGGGAGTTTGTTCCCTGAGACAAAATACCCTAAGGCACAGGGAGGATGTGACAATCACGTGATAATCACGTGGAGGTGGAATTGCAAAATCAAGGACCCTGGGACAGGGAAGGGCTTCAGCAGCTGAGCTGCCTCTCAGGAGGCAGGCTTCCTACCGTTAACCCACTCGCCTGTGGGAGGCAGGAGAAAAAGCAAGATTTGGAATCAGATAACTGGGCGGGCAGCCAAGTTATGCCACATAGTGGGGAGTGACCTAACCTCTCTGCCCTCTTGTTTCTGCCTCTGGGGATGGAGATAAAATGGTATCTAAGTCGTAGGGATGCTGTGAGGATTAACCTGCAGAAATACTTCAGAATAATACCTGATCCACACAGGCATGGGACAAATGCCAGCTATTAGAACACGTTGAATGGAAAATGGGAAAGAACTATCTCTCTATAAAATATCGACACGTGATTACTCACCCTCACAGACACACCCGTTGTGGATATAAAGCTATTATTTTTGCTGAGAAACTTGTTTACAAATGAACCCAAACTTCCCTGAATGGCGACCCTTCCCTCAGCTCCTCCAGCTGTCACTGCTGTACCTCTGCACCCGTCCGTCCGGCCACTCCAGGGTGCAGGGAGCAATGGGAGGGCCGACTCACCAGTTTGCGGATTTCACATTCTAAGTTCTGAATGCAGTCCAGCTTCCTCTTGCGGCAGCGCTGGGCTGCGATGCGGTTCTTGCTGCGCCGCCGGACGTCATGAATGAACTCCAGCTGCTCTGAGGTCAGCTTGTGCATCTTGATCATCATCTGGAAGTCGTTCCTCGGAAGATCTGTGATTTGATCTACAGGAAAGGGGAGTTTGACCTGGAACCAAGAATAACAAACGATGATTATGGCAGCTGGATTTTTGGTTTTCCTTCTGGCAGGTAGAACATCAGAGCATGGCAAAAAAAAAAAAAAAAGAAAAAAAAATTCCTTCTTTTTAAGATGACCAGGTAATATGGGAACTACTGAAAGCAAGCTGTGATGAATTCCTTCCTGTTTCAAGTATAAATACGATGTAATGTTCAGATAATCAAACAGAGTGTGATCACACAGATTTCACCGTGCTTATCAACCCTGAGACTTTTGAAGCAAGCAGCATGGGAGACACTGGGACATGTGAACTATTTCATTGCTACAGCACTTCAGCAAGAAGGATTCTCTAGCCGGTTGAAACCTTCCATTGAGCCTCAACTCAATAAAACGACTATATATAGAAAGAGATCATCTAAAGAATGGTCCGAAACCCTCGAACGAAGAGAGCACCACACACCCTGAAGATGCTGGAAAGATGGAACCATCGGCGTGAGCTCAGTTACCACGGTATAAGGGAGACAGGGCTTATTATCGGATAGGCTATTCCAGCATGGACAAGGAGTTAGAGCCGGACTTTTGTCATTCCCACCCGATGCGAGACCTCAGACAAGTCACTCCACTTCTATAAACCACCGTGTGCTCATCTGGAAAATGGGCCATGCCTTTTAGGCTTCCAGGGCTCTGCAGGTGCTAGGTTCTTGGGCAGATTGTATTTTCCAAAAGGCAACGGCCACCCCATCTCACTTTTTCTTTTACAACGTGACATTGACCTCCTTCTATCGAGAGGCTGCACGTTCCTGCCTCAACCAACACAGGGCGGCAGGAGCGAAGGTGTAACTTCGGAGGTCAGGTCATCACAGGTGTTGCCGCTTCCGCTGAGGCCTCCTCGATGGCTCTCTGTGGAGGGAACCAGCTGTGCCCTGTGGAGAGGCCCACGCGGAGAAGACCTGAGGCCTCCAGCCAACAACCAGCATCGCCTTGCCAGTCACAGGAATGAGCCACCCAGGACGTGGATTTTCTGACCGTGTGGCCTCCCCCTTCCTCCCTGAGGCAGATCTTCTTATCAGCAAGACCCTCACTTTCAAACTCTTGACACATCAAAGCCAATCAGCATTATTCAAAGAGGAGACTCCGGCCTCTTGAGAGATGGGTCTGTGTCCGCCTCCTATTGTTAAATGCTTGGGTACAACCTTGTCTGTGGCGGTTTGGAGCATTTAAGAACCACTGCCTTCTAGAGTCTCCTCAGCACTCATGAGGTAAACACGGGCCTGCAGCTTCCGGCAGTTGGACACTCCCCTCCCCAAGATCCTTAATGAAGACCCTAGGGTCTTCGGGATTCCGTTCTGCTTCTGGGTAAGAAGCCCCTAGAAAAGGAAGGTAGCACCTTGTTCTGCCGGGAGAGTTTCCCAGCCCAGACTGCTTCGTGCTTGCTTCCACTAGAGTGTGCTGTAGAAGACCAGCAGATGGCGCTAGGCACCTGCACTTCCTTCAAGCGCCAGCCCAGCGCTGTCCAATGCAAACAATGCCGCTGCATCTGTGATCCTACGTTTGCTAGTAGCCCCTGATTACAATAATTCAGAGATGAAAACAGATGAAATTAATTCTAATAAAACACTGAATAAAACCATAAGAGCCAAAATATTTCAACATGTAACTAACAGAAAATTACTGTGATATTTTACTTTTTTGGATGGAAGACACTACATTTTTTTAAAATTAATATTTCTTTATTGATTTCAGAGAGGAAGGGAGAAGGAGAGAGAGGTAGAAAGATCAACGATGAGAGAGAATCATTCATCAGCTGTCTCCTGCACGCATGTGTCCTTGGCTGGAATCGAATCTGGGACCCTTCAGTCTGGAGGACAACGCTCTATTCCAAGCTGGCTAGGACAGGGAGGCACTAAATTTTCAAAATCCGAGGTGTATATGGCACCCACAACATGTCATAGACCAGCCACAAATTTGGGGCTCAACAGCCACATGTGGCTATTGTTTTGGACTTGAACGAAACTGAGGAATCAGAAAAATAGGTCAATTAAACCTGAGTTTCATTGATCAAAATAGTTTCGGGTGAGGAAACCAAGCCCTTGCTAGTTAGTGTTCAGAAGGTGCAGTATTATGTCTGCGTTGCTGAGGGGAGGGCGATGAAGACATTTTGTCCCGAGCTCAGGCTTTTTCTTTGGTTACATCAGATGCAGGCGGACAGGTGCCCAGATCCTGGCTTCTGTGACTAGAGAATCCCCGAGCACAAAGGCAATCACAAATGATCATGTGTTTTTCCACGGCTGGGCGCAACTGCTTTGTCAGGTTTCTCCGCTGCTCTGAGCCCACCGGACGCGGCATCTGCCGAAGGCTGCCAATGTGTGCTGTGATTCAACTTGCACATGGTGAACTCTGCCCCCCGGCACCTATGACACTTTCTTGGCCCGAGAGAACAAAATCACAACGACACACATTGCACCGCTCTCCGCTCAGCCCCGCTCCGTCTGCTGAGGATGGGCAGCCAGGACAAACGGCTCCTTGTTACGGGCCCGGGAAAGGGCTTTGTCCATGGGGCTGTGTTTGCACAAGGCTTATACTGATATGAAAGCATGTTTGATTTCCCTTTCATACCCTTTGGATGACAGACAGACACTCAGATCCTGGACGGTGACTAAATAACACAGAGGTCTGTGTGCGAGGACACGGATGTTTCCACACCAGGCAGAAGGCTTGTTTGCACAGCAGAGGTGGCAGCCGTTCTAGGCCTGGATGGAGCCTCCCCTCCTGCTGGCCACAAAGCCGTTCAGCTCCTGCTCTCAATCGTGTTTACCGATTTTCAGAAAGAAAATATACCTATAGTGCAGGCCACAGGGAAAGGCAGAAGGGCTTCTGTAAGCGAGAGTTATACTCAGAAGCATCCAGGCAGTGGATATAAAACACTAGGGAAATAGGACAGAGGTTGACAGGAAAGAAGAAAAATCAACAATGCTCGTTTCAAAGTCCTTGAAGCAAAAGGCCATATAAAATTTCAGCAGAGCTTTTGCAACGCCAGTTGCTTTTTAAAGAGGTCAAAGGAAAAGAAAATAGCCAGCCATAGACTTTCTTCAATGTGAGGAGGGGGGAAAAAAGTAACAAAGCAAAACGCAAACACTCTTGTTTCTTTTTAAAAGGCGCTATTTCCCCTTAGTGAGGGAGAATTTCCACCAACACCGGAGGTGCGTCCCAGAGGTGTTCTTGAGAGGCTCCCTGGTCACTCACCGCGGCTGCTTGTTACTGTCAGAGATGTGAGCTCCAAGCCAATGGGCATGGTCCCCCGAGATGAAGAGTGGGCACAGACCCCTCATGGAACTGAGGGAACACCCCATTCTCAAGCTCGCAGGCACCCCAGGACTCTTCAAATGGGGCTCCAAACTCCACCAATGCTACTTGGCCTTTGGATACGCCGAAACACACCGAGAAGGCTGAGGCCCTTCTCCCTTTCCTCCAGGGAGTTCTTACAACCCAAAGAGGCCTAATAGGACTTCCCATCTTATTTATTATCCTTCCTCACACTTATTCCTCCAAGATTTAACTTCTAAGCAGTGGTTTGGCTTTCACTCACTGGACTCCGCGAATAGTGCAAAAACACCCAACCAGACAAGATGAGGGTCCTGCCAACTACTGCCGGCCCCTGTCCGAATGGCCGGCCTGCAGCTACACCGTCAGCCACGGCATATGAGACTAAGCACAGGAGGCTGAGCAGGCTGCACAGGAGGGGAAGGGGCCTCCTGCGGCTTTTCCATGGGATCGAGGGCCCTGATTCCTCTTCAGGCTTGGGGCCGTGTAGGAGCCACCCGAGCTTTGGTTCTCAGTAGAGACTCTGAGTGTCAGCAAGCCCAGGGCCTGTGGCACTGGAGCCAGCCAGTTCCTTAGCGTGCCTGGTCTGCCCCCGTTGGCTTGACCTGCCTTAGCTTCCTTCTTAGCGCGATGGGAGGAATAGGACAGAGGTGTTTCAGCTCAGCACCTGCACTGCCTGGCTCAGCAGCGGCCAGAGGAGGGTGAGACCCTCGGGGGCCCCAGCTCCTGATCAGTCAGGGGAATGAGTGGCCCTGCCGTGTGCCAAGGGACCTCTGCCCCAGAGGCTGGCAAAGGCTGGGAGAATGCCGGGTGACTTCCGGAGGGTGAATGAAATCGTGGGCCTGGCCAGGGGGTGCCAGTGAGACCTTCTCACTAAACACGAATGAGCGGCTCCACGCCCCTCCCCTGCAAACAGCTGCCCAGCTTCTAGAGCTGATATACCCCTCCCTCGCATATAAAAAGTATCATTTAAGAAGTTATATGAGTCCCTAACCGGTTTGGCTCAGAGGATAGAGTGTCGGCCTATGGACTGAAGGGTTTCAGGTTCAATTCTGGTCAAGGGCATGTATCTTGGTTGTGGACACATCCCCAGTAGCGGGTGTGCAGGAGGCAGCTGATGCATGTTTCTTTCTCATTGATGTTTCTAACTCTCTATCCCTGACCCTTTCTCTGTGTAAAAAAAGCAATAAAATATATTTTTAAAAAAAAGAAATTTTATGAGAAATACAACTTCTTGCAGAAAGTTCAAATATGAGACAAAAGAAGGAGGAAAGATTCCCCTCCCCAAACAGTAACACTCTCGCGTTGGTGGACTTCCCTGTGATCTTGTTTCCTCTGAATATTTTACGGGGTTTTGATGAGACGGGTTGTCATCACCTCCCGTGTCTCTTAACACATCTTATGTACCTGGTGTTTCTGGGTGGCTACTGGAGAAGGACGGAGGTAAAATGTTGTAGAAAAAGCCGAAAACAAGCATCTATTTCCTCTAGAAATCCCAGTGGAAGCTGGAGTGCGAGTCTTTTTTGCTATCTCCTTTTTCGGTTTTAGTACCAGAAGTCGAGTAGAAGGCACAGGAGTCGATCCTACTAACAGTATCCAGCTCTCCAATGCTTCTACCACCTACGCTCAGACAAGACCCCAGATCTCTGGGAGTTGTTGGGGAGGAAACAAGGTGCCCACTGGGGCTA